CGATTCCGAAGCGAAACTCTGGGCCAGACAATTAGAAACACGGGGACCGTATCAACTACAGCCTTTTGAACGAGACAATCTCGACCATTGATCTCGAGGTCTCGGATCAGGAGAAGGAAGGAGGTATTCTGGTGTTCCTGCCAGGCGTTGCCTAGATTAGCCAGACGTGCCGGGCACTTTCATCTAATTCCTCTCTGCATGTTCTCCCTCTACACGCCTCTCTGGAGACGAGGGAACAGAAGCGGGTGTTTGCCAGGGCGCCCCCAGGCAAGCGGAAGGTTGTGGTGGCAACGAATGTCGCAGAAACATCCATCACAATCGACGATATTGTGGCGGTTGTTGATTTCTGGCAAGGTCAAGGAGACGACCTATGACGCACAGAACAACATGAGGAAGCTTGAGGAGATGTGGGCATCCAGGGCAGCTTGCAAGCAGAGGCGAGGTCGTGCAGGCCGGTGTACAGGCTGGAAAGTGCTACAAGCTGTACACGCGCAACTTGGAGATGCAAATGGCGGAGCGGCCGGAACCTGAAATCAGGCGTGTACCCTTGGAGCAAATGTGCCTGTCGGTACGTGCCATGGGCATGCGAGATGTTGCCGCCTTTCTCGGGCGATCGCCGACGCCGCCCGCGAGCACGGCTGTGGATGGGGCCATCAAAATGCTGCGACGAATGGGCGCTCTCGACGGGGACGAGCTCACGGCACTTGGACAACAGTTGGCCATGATCCCGGCCGACCTCCGGTGCGCCAAGCTCATGGTGTACGGGTCCATCTTCGGATGTCTCGACGACAGCGTTACCATTTCAGCAATTCTCAGCACAAGAAGCCCATTCTTGTCTCCGCCGGACAAACGAGACCTGGCAAAGGAGGCTCGCATGCGGTTCGAGCAAGGCGATGGTGATCTGCTCACTGACCTGGCGGCATACAAAGAGTGGGACAGCATGAAGCGCGACGGAACACCTCCGCGGCAGCTTCGCAATTTCTGCGACGACAACTTCCTGTCCTACCTGACGCTCACAGACATCTCCGCAACGCGACAGCAATTTTATGGCGCACTGAGCGAGATGGGTGTGGCATTCGACCACGAGGCGCGAGGCGAGGCACCGGCATCACAAGGGCTACGCATCACGAATCATGCTGCGTGCGCTCACAGCGTCGGCTTTCAGCCCGCAGATTGCGCGGATCCAGTTTCCAGACAAGAAGTTCGCCAACTCCATGTCAGGCGCGGTCGAGCTCGACCCGGAGGCGCGAGCAATCAAGTATTTCACGGAGGAGCAGGGGCGGGTGTTTGTGCACCCGAGCAGCACCATCTTTGGTAGCCAAAGCTTCTCCGGCAGCGCGGCGTTCATGTCGTACTTTAGCCTCATCTCGACGAGCAAGACGTTTATTCGCGATCTCACACGTAAGTACTTCCTCCGGGTTTGCGGTTTCCTTTACGACAAAGTACTGATGTAGGTTCTGCGCGGGAAGCCTTCAATGCGTTCACATTGTTGCTCTTTTCGGGCGCCATTGAACTGGACACAATGGGGCGGGGGTTGGTGGTGGACGGCTGGCTGCGGCTGCGAGGATGGGCGAGGGTGGGCGTGCTTGTGTCGCGACTCCGCGGCATGGTGGACGATGTGATCCGTTTGAAGGTGGAGAGGCCAGAGGTGGACTTGCGGGACAACGATGTGCTCAAGGCGGTTGCCAAGTTGATTGAGCACGATGGTTTGGATGCGTAAAAGAGTAGACACATACACGCGACAAGGCGATGGGTCTTCGGCCCCGTTGCTTATGGGCAGAGGATCCGGTGGACACGATTGAGGCATTACTTTGCGCCCGGAGGTGCTGTGCTGTGCTGTGCTGGTGCTTTGTTCTGTAGTGTGCTGCGCATTGCCGTCAGGTCGAGTCAAAGTCAGGACAGGTTGGCCGGAGCTCATTTGAGGTGTTTCGCCGTCGAACCTGGCGGTGGGGGGGCGTTGTCCGTTGTCGGTGGATGGTGATGTGCGGCGGTCGGTGATGATAAAATAAATCCGAGGCGGGTGCCCGAGGCGGTGGTCTAAAGGACCGAGATTTGCGCGGGATTTTGTTTCTGATCTGGAGCTGATGTAGCTGATGGAGCTGCGAAAAAGAATCGGCTCAGGGGGAAGATGGACAGTGGGATGGCAGAGCGGGATTCGTCGGGGGTGGCCGACGGCGAGAGGGGAGGTGGGCGGGATGAAGAGGGGGCAAGGTGATGAGGCCGCGGGGAATGGTTCAGACGTGTCGAACCGACAGCTCTGACAAGAGATGGATGGTCATGCTACGGAGCAGGCGGTCGGTAGAGCCTCACGGAGATGGTAGAGATAACGAACAGGGCCGACTTGGTTGGTCGGCGGGGGGCGTTGGTGTCAAGGCTTCAGCTAAGATGTTGCTAAGTAGGTTGCGATGGGTCGACGGTGGGCGGATGTCGATCCGTTCCAGGCATGAGGTTGCGTTGCGGCTTTAAGTTGCAGATGTCTCTGCCAAGCCTGGTTTACTAGTGCAGCCCGAGGCGTCGGAACTTTTCTTCTCTCAATTTTTCTCGGTTTCTGGCTGGCGTTTCTGGCGGTTGCTTGGGAGGAAGAGGGGGGGGCAGGCCTGTCGTTGGCTTTGGCTTGTGATAGGCATCGGTGATGGTGATCTCGTTGTGTCATAGACTCTCGGTGGAGTGACCGGTCAAGAGGCATCTAGTGCGGTACCTGACTTGGCCGTGAACATGGAGCGCAATGGTGGGCAGAAGGCGCGGAAATGGCAGAAACACGGGCGGTGTCCGATGTCGGGATTCGGCCGAGTAGCTCCTGCCACGGCCTTCTCGTCAGTCCACCCTCTCTCTCTCTCTGTCTCCTTCCTCGCCGTGTGCGTGCATACCCTGGGAATGGAAAATGGAAAAGCGTGGCAAGGGCGACGGGACAGGCCGCGACCAGCAGCGATATCGGGCGGGCTCACCCAGTGCAACTGCAGGGCCATCCCCATCTACCGTCCGTCCATCTCGAGAGCGTGCCCTGTCTCTGCCTCCCACTAGCAATGAGCAATGAATGGGCAATGGGCAAAGAA